GGTTTGGGCATGCAAAGACTGGTTGAACAGCTTCTGTAGAACCTCTAATTGTTCCTTGCTGAATGGAGTGGGTTCAGGTGAAGGTTTGTCATCCATTGAGGCAAAATTGCCTCGCCCCTCTTTGTCGTTGGCAGACCGAGAAGACTTCCAATCTGCAGGCTTACCATGAATTTTCCAGCAAGTGTCTCTGGTGTGACCAGGTCGGCGGCAGTGATCACACCAAGGGCGTCCTTTCTTTGGTTTGGTGTCATTGTTGTTGTAGGAGTTCCCTCTAACAGCAAGGGCTGATCTCTCAAGACTTGTCATTGGTTCTTGAGAGCCCATCATGATTTTCTTTTGACTCTCCTCTCTCCTGACTTCAGAAAAAGCCTCCCGGATATTAAGTAGAGGTTTGGATCCCAAGATTCTTCCTCTTACTTCATCTAGATTTTTATTTAATCCAATCAGAAACTTATATATTCTCTTCCGTTCAATGATCTGTCTATACCTGATTCCATCATCTAGGCAGCTCCAATTGTGCTCCTCGAACAAGTCCAGTTGTTGCCAATAGCGGTTGAGTGTATTGAAGTACTGGGTTACTGTTAAATCTCCTTGACGGAAGTCATGGAGAACACTCTCCACTTCAAACAACTCAGATGTGTTCTCATTGTTGGAATACGTTTCCTTTGCAGCCTCCCAGATTTCCCTTGCTGTTCTGTAGAGTAGAAAGTTCTCTCCGATTTCATTTGTCATGGAATTGATGAGCTATGACATGACCATATTATTCTCGGAATTCCAGATTTTGAACTTCTCATCATTCTGGCTTGGCTTGGCAGCCACTCCTTTGAGATAATCATCCTTTCCTCTTCCGCATATGAACATCATAACAGAGTGGGACCATTGGAGATAGTTGTTCCCATTCAGTTTGTGTCCTGTAATGGGCATGGGATTGCTATCTCCACTACTGTTATTGGAGGCCATGGCTACCTGGTTGGAGGTGATTTGGGACACGGAAGCAGTTGAGTCACTTCTCCCGTATTTGGTTATATGAGGGATTTAGGGTTCAGAGAATGCTCTGACACCATGTTGAAAGTAGAGGAATACCTTTTTTTTTTATTTTCAATAATCAAACAGGTTACACGTTCCCTAAATATATATGCTGAAACACCTAATTTCTAGGGATATATACAACTTACCTAGAATAGGATCAAATCTATCTAAAACAGAAAGAAATAAACAGGAAATAAATATATAAGGATATGGTAACAAGCTACCAGAATCCCTTAATATATGGAACTGAATATTGATCTGTTTGACTCTAGATTTCCTTAATTTCAGCCCTCTAACATGCAGACAGATATGCATTCAAACTAAACTCCAAATAATTCTACAATATCAAACTTAATATTTTAAATAAGCCGATTGGCATAGAAAGCAAAGAGATTCTTATTGAGGATTGAAAACGAAACAAGAACAGAATTTGAAGATGAAAATAGAAGACAAACATGCAGCAGCAAAAGTAGAAAAAATGACTTTGTGTAAGAGTATAGTAGAAAAAACTAGTATTTAGAGAAGTTAGTTTAAGTTTACATGATTTTGATTTGATATTAATATCAAAACAATTAATTTGTAAATAAGATTGGGGGTACGATACAATTTGAAAATGTTGTTTTAACTTCTTTAGTTTATCGTACATAGAATTTACTGTCAATAATATAAAGTTTATATTGAGGGTCCAATCTAATTTAATTTAATATATGATTACTTATGAATATATATATACACTTTGATTGTTTTTCAAAATTCGTTGAGGAGCCAAGGCCTCCTTGACACTTCTTATGCTATGCCTTTAGCTGAACATGAGCCGATTCAAACGATGTGATAGGCAGGGAGTTAAGTTTGAAAAAGTTAACTAGTCCTCAACTAGGTTTGAGATTCGGTTGCTAGTACCTAACTAGATTTGAGCTTGGGTTGTTTATGGCTGTGGATGTCAATTGGGCGGGGCATGTGCGGTGATGCTCCTCCTGCACCCATCTCCGCCAAGAATTTTCATCCCTTGATTGTGTCTTGGTTGCTTTATCAAGAGTAATCAGCAATGAGCTCTTACCAAGCTGATTTTTAAGAGTTGTATCCCAATTTGGTTATTTCAGATCCTTCCTTTCTCACATTTTAATATGCAATGTTTTTAATTTTCTTAGGAGAGGTTGAAGAAAGAACAAGAAGAGAAGGAGCATAAAAAAAAAGAGAAGGCAGAGGCACACCTTTACACTATTATAAAGGTTGTATGAGTCATTATTTGAGTGACTATATTGAGCATTTTTTAGATTACTTTCTTACAGCTACATGATTGTCTAGGTCGCACGAGATGATGATCTTGCAGAGCAGATTGGGAAGGATATATATTTTGATCTTGTGGATCATGATAAGGTCAGGAGTTTCCGGATTCAGAAGCAAATAACTTTCAATGTGTTTAAGGTATGGTGCACGCAGGAAGATATTTACCTTGTGTGTTGCTTTCTTTCCAGTGTGTTACTTTGCTCTTGGGGTAATAGTTTTACCTTGTTCTTGATTTATCTTGTTGGTGCACGCAGGAAGAGATTGCTAAAGAGTTCGGCATACCAGTGCAATTTCAGCGTTTCTGGTTGTGGGCCAAGCGTCAAAATCATACATACCGTCCAAACCGGCCATTGACACCTTTGGAGGAAACACAATCTGTAATATTCCTTGGCATAAATCATATATGTTTTGGTTCAAAATCCTTGTTTCTGGAGTATGTGTATAGTTTTTGCTTCAATTTTTGTTCATCAGAGATACAGGCCCTTTGGCTTTAACTGCTTGTCTTCATTATCCTGATAGCCTTTGCATGTGTATCGTTTTATGCCTATCCCGTTGAATGAATTTATATTTATACATATGTTTCTCTTTAAAATATATGCCCTTCCTGTTGAATGAATATATATATATATATAAATGTGTTTTTCTTTATGGAAATGTCGGAACCTACTGGTCTTTCAGAAAGGGAAGCTTGATCAAACTCGGCTGTTTTTCTTAACTAGATATAGGGTGGCTGCTTGGTTTACGGAAAAAGTGCCTAATTTCCCTGTTCATCTTGACTGTCTTGTGAGGGATCCATCTCTTGCTGATTCTTGCAAAGGTTTAAGGGAGAATTTGTCTTCCCCACCTCCTGGTTTCTTTAAAGTTAATGTAGATGGGGCTGAAAGCAGCGATTGGAAGTTCAGTGGGATAGGTGGTCTTCTTCGGGATGCCGAGAGCTGGTTGCTGGGATCATTCTCGGTTTCTTCTGGCCCTGGCCCTCCTATTTTAGCTGAGTTGAAAGCTATTCAAGTTGTTTTGTCTCTTTTTCTGGAATCGGGGTGGAGTGTTAAGGGTCATCTTATATTGGAGAGCGATTCGGTTAATTCGCTGAAGTGGATCAAGAATCCAGGAGCGAGTCCAGCTTCTTATGATCTTATGGTCAAGGAAATTGCTGATTATGTGTTGGATCGTAAAGTGATTATTAAGCATAGACAGAGATGTTTTAATTGGGAAGCTGATAGTTTAGCAAAGGCTGGCATAGGGTAATTTGGGTTGTATTTTGTATGTTGGGGAGTTGGTGTGTTTAAATTAAGGGATACTCTTAGTCTAGTGGGTTTTGGCTGTATCCATTTGAGGTTTTAACCTTGGTGTATTTTTCAGTAGTAATAAAATATGGGGCACTCTTTTCCTCCTTTCAATGTCCGTTAAGTTACTTTCGTAGCGTGACGGTTATGAAGAGGGTTTTTAACGAGGCTCTTTTTCTTATCAACTATATATATATATGTGTGTGTGTTTTTCTCTTTAAAAAAATATAGAGAAAACCCCAGGAAAATGTTGAAAGCATCCTGAATTTACCTTCTTTTTAAAACTATGTGCTAACTTTGACTTTCCTCACGTAGGTTGGAACACTGCGGGAGGTATCAAATAAGGTCCATAATGCAGAATTAAAGTTGTTCCTGGAAGTTGAACTTGGACTGGTAGTATGGTTTTCCATTTCTTAAATTTTCTGTTTAGTGATGTTATTTAACTCATTCAGGATCTTCATTATTGGCCCCAAAATAAGAATAAGAGATTCAAACGAATTGGCATTTTTTGAGATTCTAAGAGCTTCCAAGTGCAAAAGGTTGTTTTGTCAGAGTAGAAATTAGGCATTGCCAACAAGCCTTGTCATTTATTGGTAGATTGTTGAACTCTTAGTCCGAGTGAAGCGAGTCCATGGATCTAAGCTTGGCAACCTCAAATTTATAAAAAAAAGTTAGGCATCAGATTTTGAAGTTTTAAGCTTCACTCATGTCCACTGTAGAATTACTTGCCTGTCCTTGAAATACAAGTTAGTGAGATTTGTAACTTGCTCCCTTTTGCTGAATTCTTCAGGCAGTGCTCTGTATGAATCTTATAAAAATGAATGTTCAATTCAGTCTTGCTCCCTCCTTGATGATTTTTTGGTTTTCTTGTATTTGCTTTATGACTTAAACATTACTATTCAGGATTTACGCTCAATTGCTCCACCAGATAAGACAAAGGAAGACATTTTACTTTTCTTCAAGCACTATGATCCTGAGAAAGAAGACCTTCGGTAAGTTGTCTCATGTTTGTTTTTCCTCTTCTTCTTGTAAGGTATGTGAAACCGTATGAGGGATTATCTTTCTGTTGTGTCAGCTTTGTTGGAAGGATGTTTGTGAAAAGCACAGGCAAGCCAATAGAAATATTATCAAAATTAAACAAAATGGCAGGGTATGCTCCTGATGAAGAGATCAACCTTTACGAGGTTTGCTTCCTATAATTCTTTCTACAATGGTTCATGGTTGTATTTTCAGTTCTCTTGCAACTCGTTCCTGTCATATCTATTTCTCTTTTGCATTCATTTGGTGATAGTAATTGAAGCTAATGTATGGTTCTAGTAATGAGCCCCACCCCCTGCAGTGGTTTTAGTTGGGATTATTCAGGCATGTTCGAAGTTATTTTCACTTGGACAGTTGATAAACTACTTGTTTAGTAGTAACTATATAACAGTATTTTTGCGTTTGACTGTGAAGTTGTTATCATTTCCATCTGGTTAATTTGTCCAAACATTTGCATAAATTTTGACATTCCGATGAGGAATAATACCTTGAGTATGCTTTAATGTACAGGAAATTAAATTTGAGCCCAGTGTTATGTGTGAACCAATTGACAAGAAAATAACATTCCGAACTAGCCAGGTATGCATTGCCCTTCATTTTCGAATAATTGCTATTTGTTTGATCCTATTTAAGTGTTTTGTTTATATATCATTTTCCACTGCAGCTTGAGGATGGCGACATAGTTTGCTTTCAAAAGTCTCTCCCTGTTGAAAGCATTGAACAATTCCGCTATCCAGATGTTCCTTCATTTTTGGAATATGTGCATAATCGTCAAGTACATTCTCTTTATCCTTTATATATGCAGCTTCCTTGCAGTGAGTTTATTCCATTATTTCCATTGCATTTTCATCTGACGTCTTGATGCGAGCGCTGACCTGTCTGTCATGTGGCTACTTTTATATTGGTGCTTTTAAAAATTCTGCTTGCGATTGTTGATCTGTGCTAGTGTTGATCTGTCTGTCATGTGGCTGCTTATTATATGACTGCTTTTAGAAATTCTTCTTGCAATTGATGGTGTGTTAGGTTGATTGGTCAGGAGCTAATGTGCATCTGATTGAGCACTTTGTTCTCTCTGATTAGTTTGATTAGCTGGAGAGTTTTGTATGCTTTTCTGGACACATTTCATTAATTCTGTGAGCAGTTTTTGTTCTATCATCGTAGGATAGTGGTCGCACATATCAATTTCTGTCATCATTGCTAATCGATCAAAGCAGAAACAAATTAACTTATTTTTATTGCATTTGCACTGTTCATTGTCTCAATAGGCCTTATAGTCTGGTTGATAAGATCATGATATCTAAAATTGTCAATTATAGTGTTTGGTTGATTCCAGAAAACACCATCTATTTCTATGTTAATTTTCCTAATTTGAAAGAATTAAATCTCTCTCCTTGAAAAATTCATTTGATGAATGAAAATGGTAAAATCACATTTGGTTCTGCATTTTCTATTTAAAGAAAATTATGTATAAGCATAATTAATTCCGATTTGTTTATGTTAAACATAAAAGTTAACAGGACTAGTAGTCTAGTATGCAAGAACTAAATAGAAGAGAAAAATGCTACGAGAAGTATCACTTTTTCGATTGTGATGATGAATGCAGCCTTTTTCATTAGATACATTTATGGATTATGTTTTTTTCATTGCCCAAAAAAGGAGTAAGGTGTATGGATATATTTTTGTCTATTAATGATACAGTAAAAGCTCTATGTATCCATAGTTTTCGAACTATTTTAGCTCACTTCCAAATATTACCCATGCCTTTGCTTGTTAAGCTGTTAGCCTATCTGTAGAGACATATTTCTTTATGGTAGATTGTACACTTTCAATCTTTAACCCTTCAGTTATACACTTATATACATGCTCGAATAAACTTTTTTGCTTCACGAGCAAAAGTAATATTTGATTTTTTATTCTTTCTTTATGTTAGATTGTACATTTTCGGTCTTTGGAAAAACCCAAGGAAGATGATTTTTGTCTGGAGATGTAAGTTCAAGATTTTGGTAGAAGTTGACTTCCTTTAGTTTTGCAATTGACATGATCTTTATTTACTGATATTTTCTTCTATTTTTTATATGAATGAGATGGTCCAAGCTTCACACTCCTCTCTTTTGAATGTTTAGGTCAAGGCTTTATACTTATGATGATGTTGTTGAAAGAGTAGCTCAACAACTTGGCTTGAATGATCCGTCCAAAATCAGGCTTACATCTCACAACTGTTACTCTCAACAACCCAAACCTCAGCCTATTAAGTATCGTGGGGTGGATCATTTGTCTGACATGCTGGTCCACTACAACCAGGTAATAATCAAATCCCCTTGGTAGTGCATATTGAAAGGCCAAATGATGAAAAGCTAAGAGCTAACCAATTTTTTTTTGTCAGACTTCTGATATTTTATACTATGAAGTGTTAGATATCCCTCTACCTGAATTACAAGGTCTGAAAACCTTGAAGGTAGCATTTCATTATGCTACTAAGGATGAAGTGAGTATGTGAATCATATTTAAGAGTTCTAATGAATGAAGTTAAACTTCTGTTTTAGTACAATAAAATTGGGTTCTTTTTTATCCCAGGTTGTTATTCATAGTATTAGGCTTCCAAAACAGAGCACTGTGGGTGATGTGATTAACTATCTTAAGACAAAGGTAAGTGCTATTTCATTCCTTGGGTCAAAATGATCATGTTGAAGACATGTATTTTTATGGATAATAGAATAAATTCGGTGAATCATTATTCCGAAACAGGTGGAGTTGTCTCATCCTGATGCAGAACTGCGGTTGCTTGAAGTTTTCTATCACAAGATCTACAAGGTCTGGATGTCATTTTTTCATTGTTGTTTTCTTTTAGTGTTTACCCTGAAAGTGGGAAATGAGCAGCGTCAACTTTTTACATCTTTATTTGATTTCCTCAGGTGATGGATTGTAATGTCTTGGTTCTTTCATAATCCTCTAATGACATCAAATTTTCTTATTTGTTTAAAACTTTACATTGCTTGTTGAAAAGACTTTTCATTGTTTAGTTTCTTGATTACATTTCCGCTTGTGTTTAATGTTTTTCTCGCTTTTCCTGGTATGCTATTTGAGGTTCCTTTATTACCTAGGCTATTGTACCTTTTCCTTCCCTCTAATTACAAAATTTTGTTTCTATACATTTCTGCAGATATTCCCGCCTAGTGAGAAGATTGAGAATATAAATGACCAATACTGGACATTAAGGGCAGAAGAGGTTAGTTCCTTCCCCACCCCCTTCTGTTCCTATCACGCATGCACTCCTACATCATGCTGTGATCTAATGGATCAGTTTCTTTTCTTGTATTTTGCCAGTTCTGATTTTATGAATATAATTTCATAGATACCCTTTCTTTAAGATATGAAGAGCTGGTTTTGATTGTTGTTCTTTAATCTTACAGATTCCAGAAGAAGAGAAAAATCTTGGTCCAAATGATCGTCTTATTCATGTTTACCACTTTACTAAGGAAACAGCTCAGAATCAAATGGTAACAATCTTGATATTATTACACATTGTCTTATTTTCAGTTTCCATTTTGCTTTGCTTATGATTGCTTCTTTATCACTATCATGTTTCCTTACCAATTTAACTGTCGTGTTTTTACAGCAAATTCTGAATTTTGGAGAACCGTTTTTCTTGGTGATTCATGAAGGTGAAACCTTGGCTGAAATAAAAATCCGATTACAGAAGAAGTTGCAAGTTCCAGATGAGGATTTTTCTAAGGTTTGTTGTACTTCCTAAATGCTATGTGAGCTTGTGCTCACTGATTTACCCTAATCCTTCTCATGTTCAACGGCTTTTCTCTTCTTTTGGCTGGGTAAATGAAAATTAATGTATAGTAAGAACTTTGACGGTGGCATATCCTCTGTCAATAATTTTTGAAGTTGCCATTTTTCATTCTCTTCCGTCTCTGTTTTTCAATATCCTTTTCTTTTTTATTTATATGAACCTATTTTCTTTTCAGTGGAAGTTTGCATTCCTCTCGCTTGGTCGGCCAGAATACCTTCAAGATTCTGATATTGTATCTAGTCGTTTTCAGGTGCGCATATTGTTTTTTGTATGGATATTTGAAACGTTTGTCCAACTTTCATTCACATTTTACTTTACATATATTCAGAGCATATTGTTTTTTGTATGGACATTTGAAACATTTGTCCAAGTTTCATTCACATTTTACTTTACATATTTTCAGAGACGAGATGTTTATGGTGCTTGGGAGCAGTACCTTGGGCTGGAACACACTGACAATGCTCCAAAAAGATCTTATGCTGCTAATCAGGTAACAATACTTTATTAAAATTGAGTTAATAAGACTCCTACCCTAAGGATTAAGATATTCTTTTAAGGCCATGATTAATCAATCTGCTTTTTCTGAGTCCATAAAAATGTCTAGCCTTCGAGATGCCACAAACATTCGACTCTACTTAAATGACATCACGCTTCTTTGCAGAACCGGCACACGTTTGAGAAGCCTGTTAAAATCTACAATTAGGGACTATTTTAGATTTTACCTCCTTTTGATGATATTTCACCATAGAGTTGCACTACATAAGCTAAAAGCAAATGAGAATGCGGGGCGACAAGAAGTTAGCACTGAAATGGCATCTGTTGACATTTTCGTCTTAATTTTTATCGGACAATGTAATTCTTTGGATCGAACGACTTCCTTTTAAGTAAGCAAAGTTTGTGTCTTCAGATGTCGAATACGATCCACCGAGGTTTTTGCTACTACATTCGATCTTGGTTCTATCACAATGGGGGGCAAGTTGCCCGTGTAATTTGTTAGTACATAAAAAAGATTTTGGATTATTAGTGAATTTATGTATACACAGTATAGTTTGGGAGAAGATTGTTATTTTTGCTATTCCATTTGGTTTGGTTTCCCTTGTTTTTTTGTTCAAGCCTATTTATTATGCAACTTTGCCAAACTCTGAAGCCTCAAATCTTTTCAATGTCAATCTCCACCTCTTCTAATTTGTTCTTTTGGTACAAAGCTTATTCCTACTTGTATACTATTTATGATGTATGTGCGAGTTTTAGTATTTGTAGTAGAGAGAGAGAGAGAGAGAGAGAGAGAGAGAGAGAGAGGATTAAGTAAATTCACAAATAAGAAAAAGAGAGAAAATGGCAAAAGAGATGTTCTCTTTGTGATATTTTGTTATTGGTGTAGTGACCACGTGACATTTCATCTATTCGCTTTTGTGTGCAGGATGTGACTAGACTCTATCCATAATAGTATGAACATGTTACCATGGGCTAATTTGGACCACATTTTCGGTCTCCTCAGGGCTTATGTGGTTCTCATTTCACTCCATTACATGGTTTTAGTGATTGCTTATTATATCACTCGTCTTTTATGTCTACATGCATTGGATTAAAGAAGATGGACACATGGAACAAAGACGTTGGTGGGAACTATTGATAATGTGAGGATAATTAATATAGTCATTGGATGAAAATACGATGAAATCACTGGATGCAAAGCATATCTAGGGTGGATAAGTGCCCACTTTAGAATTCAAATTTTTTATATAGTCTATTTTACTATGGGTGGCTACACTGAATTTTTATTTGTGTCCATTTTATACGAAAAAATTTATTAATTAATGTGTGTCAACCTTAAAAAATATTTCTGGATCTGTCATTAGATGACATGTTAAGTGTTACATCACTTAAAGTGATGATATGTTATGTCTCATGTCATTAAAGTGATGATGTGTCACATATCACATCATCAATTAAACTTATGTGAAAATGTCATGTTATATGTTGATTGTTTGTTAATTAATGGTTTTTATCCAACATGAGTTAGTTTAATAAAAAAAATAAAATATTTAAAGCTAAAGTGTTAAAAAAAGAAAATAATTATTCATATAAATATTAAAAATTAATATTATCGTTATGCATTTTAATTATAAACATCTATAGTTTGATTTTATCTCAACACCAAAAACATTAAAATTTTGATTTCATCCTCTATTATGGTGTGGGGGCATAACCTATATGGTTTTATCATACAAAAAATGCAGTGACAAATTAAGACATAAAGTGGGAAATCTCAAAGCATCTTCTCAGAGCATTGATGTTGGCAACGAGAAAGACAAAAAAAAAAAAGTAAAAAGAAAAAAGAAAAGGATATGTCACTGATGACTCACTGACTCAACTACTGCCTTTGATTAATTTTGATATAAGCTTTTAGCTTAGCTGCTCTTATCTGTGACATGACAGCCTAGTGTTTTTTTTTCCAAAAACCCACCATTTATATACATCCAAAATCCAAAGTTGATGATTTGACATTACAGATTCTGTACTGTTAGCTTCTTTCCCAGCAGACAAACCCCACACTTTCATTTACACCCCCACATTACCAGTAACCTTTTTCCGAATTCAAAATTTCTTTTCACGGATGTTAGAAACCAATTTTTAAACTTCGGTGGTGAATTCATGGATCCACTTTATGGTGGCTTGGATCAGCTGGTTAGGACGAGAGGGCATCAAGTGTACTATTGTGTGCTCCAGTGGGGATTGCACCATGCAAAAGAGACCCCCCCGTTTTCTTCAACAATGGATAATGGTCCTGCTTCATTCACTTTGTTTTTTCACTCGCTGTTGCTAGGGTTCCAGAAATTTATAAATGGGGTCCAAAAATTTTATTACTCTTCTTTTCAATATAATGGTATGCAAATTTTCTTATTTTCTTCTTCTTTTAATATATTGAATTATGTTGAATATCTAATTCAAAATAATGGGTGTGCATTTGGCCCCCTATATGGCCATATGCATCCGCCACCGCTAGGGTTTTCATTAACTCAGTCGGACATAAGAATACTTGTTATATCTTCAACTATCCTCCGGAGATACACTCTAAAGATAGTATCTCCGGTTCAACTCGAGGTTTTATATTCTCTAAATAGTCGTAATCTTATGATTAGACCTCTAATAGCCTCACATGATATACTAGAGTAAAATTTAATATCTGACAATTAGATTTATTTAGTCTACTGACTTATGAGTAAGGCCAAGTTCATATGCATTATTTTGAATAAATTATTAAATATAATTCAATATATTAAGGGAAAGAGAAATAAAGGAAAGTTGTGGGAATATGAGATTATAGGGTGTTGCTTTGTGGAGTCTATCGACTATCAAAAGTTATAAAATGGTCTCCGGACTATAGGATGTTCTTTTTTTAAGTCCCTCAACTATTAAAAGTTACAAAATAATCATCTGACTATTCATTATGTTCCAAAATCGTCATTTTTCAACAAAAAATGGCGATAATTTGAATTAGATGATAATTTGTTGTCTATGATATGATAGTCGTTTGAGATTCTATGATCAAATTTTATCATATCTCAGATAATACACAACTCAAATTGTCATCATTTTTTAATGGAAAATGACAAATTTAAAACATAATAAATAGTTAGGTGACCATTTTGTAACTTTTAATAGTTGAGGGACTTAACAAAGTAACATCCTATAGTCGGAGGACCATTTTGTAACTGTTAATAGTCAATGGACTCAACAAAGTAATACCCTGTAGTCGATGGACCATTTGTATAATTCACCCTAAAATTTTTATTACCGCTTTTAAATTTTTGGATCTTTCACTACCTATAAGTAATAATAACTATGTTTGACACTAAATATCCCTAAGCATGACTGAGAAGAAGAATCTCTCGACTCCAACTCATACAAGCCTACATTGTTTATCTCCCTCTACCTTCACTTCTCTCCCCAAACAGATCAACACCGGTTGCGATTCTCTACCCAAACTAGAAGGAATGAACCGTCAACGACCACAAGATTACATTGTTCTATCAACCATATACAAAGTGGTTTTGGTTTGAGCTTATTCCTCTTCATGTTAAGTTAGAAGTTAGGGTTATACACGAAAGTGAAAAGATACAAAATCATTAATGGCTAACTTAAGCATTTCTTTTAGTTTGACTTCCTTTAACCTAATGAGATATTGTTTGATGTTAAATTAGGGTTCATGATTTTATTTATTTTTTAACTATATTTTATTGTTTTTTTTTATGGTTTTAACTATAAAAATCAAGTAAAAGGGAAAAGGTTTTTCGACTCTGCAATATTCAGTGAAGGAAGAGCATGCAGACATCAGTCCCTTGAAGAATATTTGTAGGGTTTCGTTGGATAAACCTAAAAGAATTGTAAAAAAATGTGTTTGAGCATCCCAAGGTGGTTGTTTTTAATGCTTGTGTTGTGATAAACACTGCTGCATGATTTCTGTGCCATCAAATTCAGTGAAAAAACAAAAAGAAATCAACAAAATACTATAAACTGTAATTATTTTTGTTCATCTGATCAAATATTTTTTAACGATTTGATTTGAGCTCTGAAGCATGACCGATTAGCACGTGAAATAACTGTACATCATTCTGTGATCCATCCATGCCATTGCAACATATGCTAATATTATATATGAACAAAGAACAATGAGTCAAATCACAGAGACCATGCAAAATTTTATGTTGAAGGATATATTTTTAAAATTCTAGAATGGGTCGATTTATAAAATTTTAATAGAATAAAAATAAATTATCAATAATTTAAAATTTTCAAGGAAGGATTATCTGAACCTACACTCGGTTCATCCCTAAGCCAAAAGCATGCATTTGAAATGTAGGTGGGGGAAAGCCATTGTCCTTTGTGCAAATCAATGAAATGTCATATATTGGTTAAGTGGTCCAGTCTGAAGAGAAACAGATAAAAGAGCAAAGGGATAAAGGGTTGAGACTACCATTATTGTTACTAAATGAAATTACACAATACAATTATTCCATGGGATTGTTTGTTTAATTGAAAAAGATGACCTGAATAAAACATATATAAGTGCATTCAGTAGAGTAGAGAGAAACTGCATGTAATGGATAGAATGTGAAAAGCAACACACATTTAGTAATTAAACATATTATGACGACGACGATGATGAGGGATGGCATTGTGTGTTCAGTGATACCCATTAGACTTTTGAGGATCTGCAAATCCCTGGTCAACTTTTGCTTGCTTGTTCGCATCCTGCTTTAGCCCAAAGTGAATGCGAGGAAAATGTGCCCACTGCAAAAATACTTGTACGGTTAATTACACTATCAGTATTACTTGGGGAAAGGATTGCTCTAAGTATATGCTTATTTTGCGCTTAAAATTTTATATTAAGAGCGAACTTATAATATCTTAAGAGCACGAATTCATAACATTTCAAAAGGCAAAAACAGACCATAAATAAAAAATACAAAGAATATATCTAAAATATATGGAAATTTGAAATTTTCAAGGGAACAACTGCCTCTTCTAGCCCCTTCGGTCCATCCTTGCTCTCAGTAACCCAACTAATTCGTCAAAGTCACCCTTAAAAGATGGTATCTTCACAACTTGATTAAGACATAAGGTATAGAATTCAAATTTCTGATACTTCAATGGATTTTTACAAGATAAAATGAAAACTTTTAGGAGTGCTTTTTTCTTTTGGTATGCAAGTCACATTGGACTGTGACTAAATCTGAAATCAAACTAGATAGATCCCTAGCAACACTAGTTTTCCATCAAAATTCATTAATTTTTTTCATCAGTTTTATAGTTAATAATCAAATTCTCTCTCTTAACGTTTCGAAAATTTAAACATTAATTCTTTAGCATGACCAAACTACCTAAGTAATATCAAATCAAGCATGAAATAATAGAAAAACAATAGTAATATGTTTGTAGCTTGGGAAGTAACAGCGCAGGCCTTGAATTAAGGGTAGTTGAGAGGCTTAATATTGTGCTATCACGCTAGTAACAACCTAAGAAAATGTCTCTGCATATGTAGAACTAAATTGACATGGGGAGGAATCATGGCATGCATATCCATATTAATGAAATGGATTAATTTCATGTAGTGGAATTATTAATTGCATATAAAAGCAGCAGTGACTATACATATATAGATATATATATGTCTATTTGCAGAACCTGTATACATAAAAAAAGCTTACATTTTTTGCTGCTGTGCTGAAAGCTACCCTGTGGCTGATGTCTGGATTAGTAGCCTTGATCCTTTGGATTTCCTCCCTATAAATAGTAAGAACCCAGAAGAGGAAAGTGAATGAGAGATATATGATCCTTCATCAAAGCAATTAACCATGAAAATTGAGTTAAAACTTACTTAATGAACCTGTTATAAGCAGAAGGAACACGTTGCCTCTTTTCAGGTGCTGCATTTTATATCATGTAGTTTAATTAAACATCTTATAAACAAGCTTCAATCAAACAAAACATTTGCTAAATGCATATAATTGTATGGCCATGGAAATTTGCTGACATATGTTGGACCATACAATCGAAAAGGGTGACAATTTTTCTAGTGGGATAGGCAATCGACTTTATTTGTCAGGTGAAATCTTCACGAAGATAGGCAGGTATATATAGGTATGGTACACCAGCCTGGGATGTACTCTCTACTCAATAATGGTCTATCAACATGCAAAGCAACCCATAAAGGCAAATAGCATTGCATTGAATTCTTTGGGATGATAAAAAAGAAAAGAAAATGAATTCTACCATACATTATCAAACTGTGATATGATACATTTAACGTATAGGGTTCTCCATGGAATTGCTAATAATTAATGAGTTGAACTTGTGTGTAAGGTCACCATCTTGGGAAGGGGTAGGATTTGAAAGGGGAGATCAAATGAGTTGCCTAAGGCGTTTCTTATAGATGAAAGGCTCCTCGAGTGGACCTGTATCACAAAATGTGGTTATCCATAATTATTCTATGCTTGGCATTGCCTGACTAGAGTCACTATAAATACCCCTCAGCAGTCAGCACTATCTTCTTCTTCATCCCTATGATCAAGTCTCTACCCTACAAAATTACCCTCACCGGGTGTGACTTCACTTAAATCACAAGGGATGAAGCATCAACAACAGAAAAGAACAGTTTATTCCTATCAACAACTAGATTATGTCCATTTGTGTTTGGGGGAGATTTATCCAGCATTAAAAAGGCCTTGGTTGTAGGTTCAGGCATTTAATCCTTTGGTATCGGCTATGCATGTAGCAATTACTTAAGGGCACCTATCTCAACGCATGTGAATGATACATGAGTATGTAATCATGTATATCATATGAGATTGACAGAGAAACTAACGGCGAATTGGGGGTATTCTAGTTGGTTCATGCTCTGCAGAAAACTTGTTGCATTTGGAAGACGACCCACATTCCTTATTTGAATGATCTTCATCATTGGCTACCTGCTGTTTCTGCAACTCCTCTCAAAACAAAGCAAACAAGTCAATTACCCAAAGAAAATCCCATTTTTTTAGTAGACTATTATTTTTTTTTCTGACACTGTATTATATTATTTTTCTTAAATGCTACCATTCTTTACTAGACTATTATTATTTTTTTTCTTTTTGAATTTAATATTCACAAGAATGTCCCAGAAAAGAGGGTTGGGGGGCTGCCAAAAAGAACCTGAAAATACCTGAGCATCTTGAATGGGAAGTGTTTGAAGAGAGTTCCCCATATTTACAGACAGTAGATTGGCACAATGCCCACATCTAACAGTCACCAGATTGAACCCACTGTTGCATGGAACACTAACCTACATAAAAGGTTAACCATTTCGGAAATGTTAATGCTTACTACTATAGACACACTGATATGATCACATGCAAAAAATGTCTGAAGCCAACCCTATCTTTATCTTTTGGTCATTCAAAGAGTTGAATCTGCTACTGCTAGAACAAATACAAACCCTAATCCAAAGCCCCGACCCTCATCTCTCTTTAGAATAGATCCCATACATTTTCCTTTCAAAGTCCCTAGACCTGCCATATCCACCAATACCAAACACAAAAGTTTCATAATGTCTTAAGCATAATAGAAAACATTGTAAGGGTCTCTTTTATATAGAAGGAATTCTCTCGATATCTGCTTTCCTTTCGGTGCACATGACTTTTCTCAGCCTGACACTGCTATATATATATTTAAGCCCAGAGGAGGAAAAAGAGAGAGAGAGAAAGATGAAAAGAACGTGACTGGAGCGGAAACCATAAAGGGCAGGCCAAAGCTATCAAAGCATGTAATTGAACAAAGATAAAGATAAAATTCATGAACGGTGATTGATTTACTGATTACTTAATTTTTGCAGTGCTTAGGATCTTGAAAAAAGATAAAAGAAACTCTTGTATCTTTTGACTTGGAACTGACCTGGAAGAACCCTAAGCCAAACCTACTACCTGTACCTCAATTAAAATCATTTGGCCTAGCTTCCATGATGCTTTCATTATGTTCACTTGTGATTGCTTTAGATGGGAATTCAGGGTCATTCGTTGGACACTTTGAGCTAAAAACCAGACTAAAATTTCTCATAAATATGAGTACCGAGTTAAATCATGAAAAACCTCACGATCCCATCAACCCTGAACCATGACGGGTAAAGTGGATCTTTCTCTTTTTACAGGGAAAAGGGCATTTTCCAAATTAAATCAGAGAAAAAGAAAGACACATTTAGAAAAAGAATGCATAAATTGATAGAAAAATATATCTATAGTAATGGAATTCTGTGCTGTACCGCTAAAATGGTGTTGCAGAAGTTGCACTGAACATACCAAACACGTTCCGATGTCAAGTCCATTGACATTTTTTTCTCCCCTAAATCTATAGTATTCCCCAAGAACAAAGAAACATAAAATGGATCAAGGTTGAAGAACCGATGAAGAGAAGAGGAGGGTGAATAGTAGTAATAACAAAGGGAAGACAGTAGGACGACAAAGAAGAAATGAAATAATTGGGTTTTGGTTGTATTTTTATGTGAATTAATTGTAAGACAGATTTTCAAAAGTGTACAAACATATGATATGACAAGTCTAGTGCAAATGGGGAGAGAGTAGTGCAGTAAATATGGGTTAGGAAGGCAGAAGGAAAGCAAAGGGAAAGGAAGAGAGAGAAAGGAAGAGAGGGAAAGGAGGTGTTATGATGGAGGCAATGAGTGGGTGGGAAATCCCCCCATCTCCATCTTCTTGTTTTGTCTTGCGGACGACCATATTAATGCTTTCTTATGTTTTGTGCCAATTAAATGAATTGATGTTAATTTTTGAGGTCTTGAACTTAAATCTCTCTCAAACTGATATTATTATATATATATATTTATATATATGTAATATCAGTGAGGTGAATATGATTATATATGAATTTATCGAGTGTATTAGTGGTAAAAAATATTATTTTTATAGAAAATTTAGATACGAACAATTGTGTTAGTAAGTTTGTTTGCGTTGCTAACGAAAATAATTTTTTTTAAATAAATATTATCTTATAATTAATTCAGATCAATAAAAAGTGATAAAGTATTATCCTTATCATTTATTACATATAATTGTTTCATTACTTATTTTTACCCATTTAGTGCATAAATTTGTTTATCTGCTGATTTTTCAAGTCCGTAATTTGACGTCAAGGTTTACCATTGTTATCCAAATCAATAGACTAAATTCTTAACAATGACCAAATTTTGACTAATAAAAGTAAAGGAACCAACTTCTCAATTTTCGTGAAAATAAAGGGATGAAATTCATGATTAAACCATATATATACTGCTATAAAATGACATTATTTACTATTCATCATCAGCGTAACGCCCCTGCTCTGTTCGATGCGTAAACAACACGAGTTGTAGGGACAATTTGTTAATTCACATTAACAAGTCTTTTAATAAAAATATGTTTTTTATAAAGAAGGTACTTTGTATTAAAATGTAAAGTACATCACCTCAAAGACCTCATTAAAAACCTCCATAATCCTAAATAAAAAAAAGAGTGAACCAAGAGGTAGACGAGGATAAATACACGGATATCACAATGCAACAAATAATACATACCCAACCCACAACAAGTACACACAAACATCCAAACATACCAAGCAGCTTAAAGAACTTAGAATAGAAAGAACAATAAAAACTAAAATCAGGCAACCACAACAGCAAGAGACTGTCCGAAACCAGCATCGGGAACCAGGATCACTAGGCCTGCTTATCAATGCATTACAACATGACTTCATCAATCTAAGGCATCACACAATACCTGACAATCACACTAAAACTCAAAGCAAATGTTATGACTGGAAAGTCTCAGCGAACTTACTACCAACACTGTACCTTAATGATAGTGTTACTCCTTTTCAAGATAAGCAACCCACCTTTTCTTCAAATCCGAGTCTGATAGAGATCTACCAGATAGTTCAGAGGAATTAATATTATATTTCAGCAAATTGAATATCTTCAACGCTCGATCTCTTTTTTTTCTCTCAGCTTTCAAGAGGACTTTGTCCTAAATATCTAATAGCGAGCCAAATTTCTTCTGCTTCCTTTTAATCCTATTGGTCGGCACCTTTACACTAGAAAGAACATAACTATCCATAACAGGAGACTTAGACAAAAACCCCCTCTTCCACTGTTCTGATAGGTAACGACTCTGTACTCGGACTCTCCAAAGGCCTTATACTGTTGAAAGATGATTTGGGCTGCCATAGATCTGATCCTCTATTTGAATCCAAAACCCCAATGCATGCGTCCACGTCCTTGATCGAAGGCCCAAGCATAGGCGCAATCGTCCCATCAAAACGTGCGCCATTGTCCCATAACGCATTGTCTTGGGAGCAAAAACCGAGCTCCCCATGCTTGCGACAATGTTCTTTTTCAACAGCCCATCCATTGTCACATTCGTAGCAACATGCGCAATGTCTTCTATAACAGCACACAATAAAAATATGTTACGTGATGTATCTTATGTTATGTACGATGTTTGATAATGCATGATTATAGTGTATTTATTTTATAAAGATTATAATTTTATATGATTTGTGTGTTGCGTTTTTCTATATTTTTATTGTATTTTTTATAATTTATTTATATGTAAAATGAGTTTCTATAATTATAAAATATGAGCCAATTAAGGGTAAATTACATATTTTTTATTGAATTATATTCTCCCTCCTATTTTATTCACTATACTTTCAATATTTTTAATTTATGCATTGCACTTTCGAATTACTCATCTTTTGATCATTGTCAATTATTTTATTATTATTTTATATGACATGATATTTTTTTATTTAATATAAAATAATTGAAATATAAGATAGAAACATGAGGTGGCCAGACACCACAGCCGACCATTGTCGACCGCCGTAGATTGTAGCCGTTCAGTCCCATATTTCATGGGTCGATTCAACTTGAGCCCGAATCTGGTGGTTGTTTCACCGGAAAATATCCCAAAACTCGTGAATCTTGACTAAAACGTTTCGTCTTCCTCATTTTCAATCTCCAATTCGTTGACTTCGGAGCAAGTTCTGACAAAATAGAGGTCAACTTCAGACTCACGGTGTCGAGGCAAAACGACCCATGAAATTTGGGACCGAACTACCACAATCTATGGCGGTCAGCGGTGGTGTTCGATCACCTTCTGTTTTATTTTATATTTTAAATTAGTTTATATTAAATAATAATAAAAAAATAAAACGTCATATGAAAATAATAATAAAATATTTCATAGTGATCAAAACCGGATCAATTTGAAAGCTTATTGAGTAAATTAAATAAATTAAAAGTATAGTGAGTAAAATAAAAAAGAAGATATAGTTAAGTGAATAATGAGGTAGGATAGGATAATAAGCTTCAAAAGTTACTTACAACTTTAGGTTTATTTTCGGTTATCCAATTAGATTGGGGAAAAATCACCTTAGTTTTATGAGCTATAGTCTTTGTATTTTTTTATTGCTTTATATATATATATATATATTTATTTATTTATATGTGAAAATTGTATTGATGTGATATCTTAATATTTACTATCATTAATGTCTCGATTGATATATGTGTTATAAATTTTTTTTGTACGTGAATATTAATGTAAGTATTGTTAATTCAACATTACAAGTTAACTCGTTAAAAAGAAAATATATTACGAAGATAATTTAATAAAATATTTATTTATTTATTCATTTGGGACGTTTAATGAGTTGAATAACTCGTGATCAGTTCGAATTTGATTCGGTCAAAGCACGACTCGAGAACTTAACGAGTTGATTCAAGCAAATCCCATATCGACTCGATAAGTTCGCAAGCATATCGTTAATTTTTTATATAATTTTTTAGTACTTATCTTAAAAAATATTTTATTAAAAAAATCACTAATTTGGTATTAAACTCCGTATAGTATTAATATATTTTAACTATAATTAAGAAAATAAGGTAAAAATTTCAGTGAGCTTAACGAACAATGAGGTAAGCAATAAGTTTTTTTAACGAGCACGAGTCGAGCAACAAAAAATTTTAATGAGCAAGAGTTGAGCACTGCCCAACTTACGATCTACTTGCTCAATAAATACCCCTAATAATGATATATTCTACCAAGTGAATACAATCTTACATCCTATCAAAAAAAGAAATATATCTTTTTCCTGTAGATAATGCTTTTTTCCCAAGAACTAAACACAATATATCATAGTTTGCTGGCTCGGTTCGAATCTTAAAAAACATGTCCAAAATTTCAGTGACAAGCAATGGTTAATACAAAGATAAAACATTCATAATAGCAAAGAGAAGCCAAAACTCAATCCAAATCATAAACTGCAATGAAGGGCATTAGAACACTCCCTATCCATAGCTTTCCAATCCCATCTCTCTCTTCCACTTCGCTAACTGCTTTCACCACCTTCCCTTTACTATCCTCTAGAACTCGTAAAAGCTTTCCTTCGGGGCTGTATTTGACAATCTGTGCATGCAAATTACCCCCCACCTGAAGCAGGTAATGTACCTTTACTGTGACAGGCAGCTTGGGAATGAACGTCCTAAGTTTAGGGTATTATCCTAGTATATGAGAGTACATGGATCTCCGACACTGAATTGCTACCCAGAATTCACCGTTTTTTGTTTGTTCGGACGTTGTCGGGAAATCCCGGTAAGATGGCAAATACCTCTGAAGTCCCTGCTTTCTCACCTTTCAACCAGTATTTGAGTAATCTGCCAGGGCATCCTTCAGAAAACACAAGAAAAGAAGTATCATTGCTCAAGGATACACCAATTGGGAATTGAAGATTTTTCATAAGGGTTGTGGTTTTCTCTGTGTGTGGATTGTACTTCAGAAGCCTCCCACTTTTCTCTGACGAAAACACTAGCTGCACGTGGTTTCTGAACTATTATGTGTGTCAGTATCAGTGACGAATCAATAAAATAAATCACTAATCGGAGTAAACTTAGATTGTAGGAGGAGCACTTGCCCACCCTAATGTAGGCGACACTACGCGTACATCCGTGTTGACGAAAACGGGTAAAGAAAACGAAAGAACACGAGAATTTTACGAGGTTCGGCAATGTGCTTACGTCCTCGGTGCCTAGGCGGCGCTAGAAGTTTTATTCAATGATGTTTTAGGTCTAGGTTACATCTCTATTTATAATAGAAAACCCTGGTACATAATTACAAAATCAACCCTGTACCGTACCGCGGGGGCTGCGCCCCCACACCCCCAACCCACATAATTCGTAACCCCATAACGAGACTTTTTATGAGCCATACATAACAAATCTCCACCTTGGCGAATATCCTGCCCCTTGGAAACTTCAATGTGGGTTGGGTTACCTTGCTTCTTTAACAACTCGAAACATTCAACAAGTCCAAGCAATGCTTGAACTTGTCTGTCGTAACTGGCTTGGTGAACATATCAGCGGCATTCTCATCAGTATGTACCTTCTGAAACAAAACCTCTCCAGATGCAACCAACTCTC